AGTGAAAAAGGTTAGTAAATTCGTAAAACAAGAACGCCCCTTTGTAAAACCATACTGATATACGCTGATCAAATTATATATTTCAAGGTGACTTCGAATTGCATCAGCAGTTATAAGGTCAGGTTGATTGGACTATAATTTTATTCTAAGGACCTATCTTCCACTTTGCAAATGGGTATCACATTTGCTCTTTTTAATTATCTGGTATGATATCCATTTGTAGTGACCTGTTGAAGAGACTAGCTAATGGTTTGCTAGGTTCCTCCTTACATTCCTTTAGAATCCTTGAAAACATCTGAGAGCCCTGCGACTTGTTTGTTTTCAATCTATCCAGTTGTCTAAGGACCATGTTGCTAGTGACTTGGATCTTGCACATTTTATTTTCGTCCTGACCGGTATAGTTACTGATTTCTAAGATCTTATTTGTGTCATCTTGTGTAAAAACAGAGGGAAAATAAGTGTAAAATGTGGTACACATTTCTTTGTCACTTACAGTAAGCTGATTTGAGTTACATTTAAGTGTGACTATGTTTTCTCTAGTCTTATTACAATATACCTGAAAGAAATTCTCTGGGTTGATCTTTGATTCCCTCGTAGCCTTAACTTCATTTTTTTTGTTTTCTTACAAGCTTATTCCTTATTTTGACTTCTCTCTTAAATTTAATATATTGGTCAACAAGGCGACCCTCTTTCGATTCGCTTGTAAATGCCTCTTTTTTTTTTCTCACGCAAGGGATGTTTTAGTCCAGTGTTCATCCATTTAGGGTCATTTACATTTTATCTAATTTCTCTATTAGGAATATATGACGCTTAGGTACCTTGTATAACGCTTTGGAAACAAGTTATTTTGGGGACCATTATCTCCATCTATTTGGTCTCCCTCATAATAATATCAAGTCAGCACGAAAATTGGGGACCTTGATTTTGTAATTAGTGAGACTAAGTGATTTGTGATCGTTTCCTCCAAGCTCTTCATTAACTCAAGATTATTTATCCGATTTTTTATTTACCAGAACGAAATTAAGCAGGTTATTTCTATTAGTTGGTACTAACACAAACTGTTTTAAAAAGCAGTCCTAGTCTATTTCTAGACTGTCGCTAGACTAGATTTCCTGTCAGATTGCTCCAGTAAAATCTCCCAAGAAAGCTACATTTTCATATTTAGATGACTTAACACTTTTGTTCCACAGACGTTTACTGTGGTCACTACCGAGGTTTGGGAGTCTGTAAATAACCAGCTTTTCATGCCCTAATGCAATAGTGTAAGTTTTCCTCTAACATAATAGCAACTCCACTGCCTTTCCTGATGGCTCATTGTGGAATAATTTTTACCACTATATGGCATTCCGTAGGCATGTCCCCATTTTTCAGATTCAGTCAAATCTCTGTTATTTTAATAATATCTATGTTTCCCCCACATTAGTTCGTCTATTTCATGTTTTGTGTTCTGCTGTTTACAAAGAAAATGTTAAGGAAGTTTTTGTCCTGTCTCTTTTTTAGCAGACCAATTTCCCTTTTTTTCAGTAACTCTTTTATAAATTATCCTTTTTAAGGAATGTTTTTCTAGTATATATGTACTGGCAATTCTTCTCGCTCCGTCACTAGAACTGCAACCTCCCCCTTGTTTCTCACACATACTCGTACCTATGTTTTTATCAGTGTAAAGTCCAAGGCTCCATCGACTGAATTGTCTAACGCTACCACCCCTATGCCAGAAAGATGCGCCTCATCCCCTGCATATATACCATGCTTGCCATAGAAATTATCCCGTGTCATGCTCCCTGCAGTACTTGTCTAGCAAGCAATTTACACCAACTGCTCTAGAGTCTAGATAATCTTGTAGTGAAATGTGTGAACTATGTGCGAAATAGTACTATGAAGCACCGTGTCTTCAAAAAGCTGCGTAATGAAATGGGCTCTGAATTCGAGGTACTTCTGTACCATTCTAAGGCTCGGTGGTTTTCCCGGGAAAGGTGCTGAATCGTGTTTTTGCCTTGCGTGTGGAATTAGCCCTGTTTTTGCGAGAGCACCAACATTGTCATGCAGATTGCTTCGAAAATTCTGAGCTCATTCTCATTTTGGCTTACATGGCCGATATTTTCGATGGTCTCAATCATCTTAGTCGACAGATGCAGGGCGGTGGAGTCAGCATCATCGAAGCGGAAGAAAACCTAAAGGCTTTTCAAAAAAAAGCTATCGTTATGGAAACGACGAACAGAGAATGATAACTTCGCAATCTTTTCCCTGCTGGTCGACTGTGTAAGATCGAAGACGTGTCTGGAATTGGAGACATTTCTGTACCCGGGGAACTGAAGCAAGCAATAGCCATGCACTTAGATGAACTCGCAAAGTCTCTCGACGGATACTTCCCCACCAGAGTCATATCCAGCATGGGTGAAACAGCCGTTCACGTTCAGTGTTGCGACAGCAGATGCCAATGATGAATACCTCGACGAAATCATTGAACTTCAGCAGAGCCAGGTTCAGCAGCAACTCTTCAGAACAACGCTCTTTGTGTCACCAAATCGTAGCGTTCCCCTCTTATTACTAAGAAAACCCTTGAGATACTCACGCCGTTTGCTACAACATATCTTTAAGAGCAATCCTTTTCGAGGAAGGTAAACATCAAAACGAAGAAAAGGAACAGACTTTGTTGCGAAAATTATATGAGAGTGGCACTTGCCAAGGTGATGCTGCGCATTTCTGAACTTGTCTCTGAAAGTTAGTTAGTTTAATATGTTTATTATGCACCCTATACCCATCCTGTGGGCGGTAGTCAAAAGATTACAGAGGTACATAATTGGTCCAGGGACTGGACTCCAAAGTTTTGATAGCTGAGCAAGTTACAAAGGTAATGAACTAGATCTGGTCATAATCATGACCAAGTTACAAAGGTAATGAGCTCCAGGTTGAGCTGGTCACACTCGTGAATAATTGCAAAGGTAATGAATCATAACACATTAATCATGAGAATTTACAAAGGTAATGAGCTCCAGGTAGAGCTGGTCACAATCATGACAAGTTTCAAAGGTACTGAATGATAAACACGTTATGACATGATTACAATCATAGACAAATTACAGAGTAATGAGCAGTTAACAAACATAGTAGGGAATTCATCCATTGCCCCAACAACAGATGTTGCTAGGTGCCTGTCTCTCCTCGGCAGACAGCCATTGCAAACAGCAGCAAGTTGCCCAGGGATCTGCTGCTTGCACGAGCACCATCGACCCTCCCCAGGAGGTCCAAGAAGCCAGTGACTCCGTTAGCAGCCCGATGGAGAGCTGCCCTAGGGACATGTCAGCGTCCTGGTGGACGCCAAGTTGATTGAAGATCCCAGGACCTCGTGTGCACGGATGTTGAAGCTTGAGGAACTGAGTACACACTGCCTATGGCAGTGCAACAGCAAAAGTCACATTGATTTGCAGTTTTGACGAAATCATATTTTGAAGAAATCATATTTCATTTTTCCATTTACGAAGGTTCGGTGAATGTGCTGATGAAACTTGCGGGGTTCAGTACCTTCAAGAAGTTTAAGAACCACTGCTCTAGACATACATTCACAGCTCACTCCTATTCTAGGCAAAATGCTATATATGATCGGGTTCCCTTCCTTCGACCTAATTAGGTTAATATCTGCCTTGTACTTGGCCAACAACTCTACTGTTTCCCAACATCATTACCTCCAGCACTGAGGCAGTAAATTTGGCTGTTCCTTTTACCTGGCATTATGTTATCTAACCTGTTAACTATATCACCCACAACTTCGCCAGGGAAACACGCTCTCTCTTGCTTTCTTATCCGTGTTACAGGATGCTCGATACATATATTTATTTTGAGTCTTTGACAACAGGTATGTATGTTGAGGCATTTGTCATAACTGATTTCTTGTCAACTGTCTACTCGTCATAACAGCAAAGCGATTTAAGAAACAAACAGTAAACTGTTTGCAGTATCAATTAAGCTTCATGTCATACTAAGCAACCCAGAGATAAGCATGCTCGAGGTATCTAAAACGCAGCCCAAATTCCTTTGTCTCACTGTGGCACCAGAATAATCAGCCTTAGTTGCGCTAATAACTGTTTCAACCAAAATCATGATCCTCGGCCCAGAAAAATTCATGAACAAGTTTGCTTGTAGCCCTCCTGCCTCTGTACACCTGGCAGTAAAAAATAAGTACCTGGGTGCTAGCTGACTGTTGTGGGTCACATCCTGGAAAAAAATTACTGTGCAAATGTATGAGAAACTCCATCCAGTCCTACCGGAAGTCATATACTGGCTAAAATGCCAAGGTCTAAGAAAGCTTAGTACCTGCTAGAAGTATCGAAGTGTTAGATAAAGGTATCTGCACAACATATTGTATTTAATGATTTTAATTAAAAAACTAATATTTACAAGGTGAGGCTTAAATAGGTACAGTACCTAGGTGTTTGTCAACTGATATGGTTTGCATACAAGGGGAGGGGGGTATGTCATAGTTAATTAAGGATGAGCTTAAATAAATGAAGAACATATTAACAACTGCGGGGGGTATTAACTCACCGCCAAAGACTCTAGAAACATTGCTACTAAAATACAAGTACGTACCTTACTAATGCTTGCTGACCATGGGCATCAGGTGTAAGGAGACTTGACCATACGCCTTTTAATTCCGAGAGATGAACCAGTGTATTATCTCTTGTAATTGAGACCTTGTACAGAAATCTTATCTAGCTTTACATAGATAGTGAAAATGTAGAAAAAAATAAGTAAACTACTAGGTTTTATAAATCACGTTCTGTGTATTTTGAGATTTCGCATTTTAAAGTGTGTACGTTTGAGTGCTGTAGTAACGTCGCTCACAGCTGGGCTGCCCAGGCAGTGATACAGTCATGACCTACTTACGATAACATGTTTATCTGGCAAAATATTGTTTTAAAATTAACATTTCCAATTAAAGTCATTAGCTGTGAAGGATACCGCAATGCTGATACATCTCTTACCAGATGTAGCATTTTTGTAACGTAGATTCGTGCTGTTTAGTTGATTACTCAGGCGAGACTTGGAACAGTGAAGTGCCTCGGGTCATATGGTGTGAGTGGTAAGCGATAGACATCAAGTCCAGTGTGGAGTGTGGAAGCCAGCAGCAGGGACCTCGCACCTACAGACACACCAGGTACTGTCCAAGTTTAATACCCGCCTCAGCTACGCTGGAATAATTAAGCCGGGATTATAATAAAAAGTTTAGAGGAAACGTGCGTAATAAGTTATAATTATTATATTACGCTAGATGTGCATTTTAAAGTAGAAGGGAGACTTAATTCTAGCTAGATGTCCGCCTACGGTAGTGATGTTTAAACAGGTCCAGTGTCAGCATACTCAAACATGGTACGGATGTTTGAAATTTATATTTTTACCGGGGGAACAAATTTATGGGTCAGTATCACTCATAACGTGAGTGAATATACCATTATAGCAACAGCCTATATGTAACCGGAACCGGAACTATGACCGGGACCCTGGTAAAGAAATGGGTGAAAAAATGGGAGTGAGGGGAAGGAGGGGGAAGTAAAGATAAGTGTTCCAACCACTTTCGATTTTTAACTAGTGTGTGAAGGTGAATAGCATTTTCGTGATCATGAAGTTTAAGTAGTATACATAACTGCCCGACACCCACACGCACTTACACGGGATGTCTACATGCATGTCTGTGCGTTCTGACTGGGTATTTTTTTCTTTTCATGAACTAAAGCTGCTGCTGGTGCAAGGGTGCTGCTCAGAAGGCTTAAGAATGCGCTAGAGGTCAGTTTAGGTGATGTCAGGAAACATGACAAGTGTTTCCTGACGTGGGTCTTAAGTCATATGACTCGCAGTTGGAGTTTTTGGTCATCTGACTGAGGCCTTCCACTGGTTTACCAGTCCACCTCTTTAAAAATTATGGCTATGATTATAACCGTTAAGAGGCTGTTTAGTACTTGCTGAACAGTGTCTGTCTTCAGCTGGCACTTGGAACGATATCCTGCCTATTGCAGACTGCAGGTGTTGGGGAGTTTGGGTGTTCGTTGGTGTCACATTAGTGATGATTTTAACTACTTTGTACTTAGACTGAAGCTGGTGTAATCCACTCGACAGTATTTCCTGGAAGATCACTCAGTATCTGTGGCCTTGGTAAGTCATCCTTGTGAATATAACGTCATACTCTTTGTTGCAATGTCATCCTGTGTGTTCTTTGACGGGGAGGCTCCCTGATCACATACTCTGTGATGCTGACTGGCGGGGGAGGCTTTTTCCCTGCCAGGTAGGTAGAGATCTTCCGTATTATATACCGGTGCTTCTTGAGTCTAACCTCCCCCGATGGGGGTCCCCACCATATGCCGAAGT